CATACAACACATTTGGTCTCACATGGTCTTGTAAACTTTTCTTTTGACCTTTGCTGACACAGTTTTGCTGCAAATCACTCCTGAAACTTTTTTCCATCCACTCCATCCTGCCTGGACTCTCTTCTTCACCTCTTTACCACACTCCCCATTCTCCTGGACAGTGGACAACAAGTACCCTATTTTCCGGCGTATAAGTCACATCAGTCCAAAAAAACATCATGAAGAGGGAAAAAAATCATTTGTAAGTCGCATTTATTTAATGGTCAAAACAGCTTCATTCTGCCTGGGTGGCGTGGCGCCGTCTGTCCGTCCGTTGGTTGGTTGGTTGTGGCCGGAGCTGCAAGCTCTGCAGCGTTCCTTTCCCTGCACCAGCTGAGTGAAGCGAGTGTGCACAGGAGTACTCGCTGTTGCAGTTCATCAAATTTTAAAGCATCAGTCAAACACTGCGTTATGAATATGGAAAAAAAAACCTTATATAAGTTGCTTCGGCGTATAAACCGCAGGACAGACAAATCCATGTATAAAAAAAAACCTGGGACTTACGTATATGCTGGAAAATACAGTACTTGAAGTCCTCTCATTGACCTCCTGCTAATTACCCTAATTAGTTACAAAATGCTCCACCGGCTGTTTCTCAACAAACCCAACTTTTTCAGGGTTGGTGTTCCAAACCCAAGCGTTTGTGTCCGAACAGCTGGTGTTGAAAACAGTCGAGAGCCGCTCCACGCCTCGCTGAGCTCATGAGGAAGCTGAATTTCTGCAGATTTATCAGGTAAGTATGTTTGACGGAATCTAAAGGATGTGGAGATGAAGCCATTACCTGCTCACCACTGAAAACTGAACCCGCTCTCGTCATTCCGTACCTTTCATGACCCCCCCAGGTCCGCTCCAGGCAGAAGGCGTTGGGTTTCAGAGCCCACTTAATGACGGCAATTTAACCTTTTGGAGTTTTACAGTTTGAAACATTAAAAGTGGATTTGAAAGAAGATGAAAGAGCAAAATGAGTTTTTATGTTAATTTTAAAATATCTTCTTTTGTACTATTTAAAAATAAAGAAGTTATTTTCTTAAACAATAAAAGGTGATTTCTGTCAGTGGAAGAGAAGTGGCAGAGGTTTCCCATCAACTCCAGGGTTCAGGTCAGGACCTGAGGACCTGTTACACCCTGTGAGTCACTTGGCTCTGAAACACAGCTCACCTTTGGGAGGATCTGTCATGCGGATGTTTAAAGGTTAGATAGGAGCGTGGATGAGTTACCTGATTCTGTGCAGTCAAACAGCCTCCAGAGCGTGCGACACACAAACATGGTGATGTTTACCATTTCTGCAGGGGACCCCCCCCCCAACCCCCTTCTCCCCCAACCCCCTTCCAGCATACATCTGTTTAGGAAGCTGTCAGCAAATTGTATAGAGGTCAGAGAGGACACAAAGATCGGGGGCAGCGTGATGAATTGATCGGATGGTGCGGCGTCCCTCAGGGCGTCAAAGGATGTGGCTGTCGGTGCAAACATGATGGAGAGGACAAACAAAGTCTTTACTGTGAAAGTCAAAATAAAGATATGAATAAATGTGTTTGTGCCAGTTTAACTAGAAACAAAAAACATTTGGTACAAAAAACAAAAAAAAAAATGGACAAACTAATGAGAATAAAACACTAAAAATCAACACATCAAATCAGACGTTTCTTTTGAAAAAAATTTAATCACAATTATTTAAAAAATAAATAAACTGGCAATGATGAAGAGGAAAAACTTAATGGTTTATTGCTTAAACTTTTGAGCCAATCACTGCAGTCGATCCATTTCTGTAACTGGTTCTGCTCCACCTGTCTACAGGTGTTCTGGTCCACAGGTGTTCTGGTCCACCTGTCCACAAGTGTTCTGGTCCACAGGTGTTCTGGTCCACCTGTCCACAAGTGTTCTGGTCCACAGGTGTTCTGGTCCACCTGTCCACAAGTGTTCTGGTCCACAGGTGTTCTGGTCCACAAGTGTTCTGGTCCACAGGTGTTCTGGTCCATGGGTGTTCTGGTCCACAGGTGTTCCGGTCCACCTGTCCACAAGTGTTCTGGTCCACAGGTGTTCCGGTCCACCTGTGCACAGGTGTTCCTGTCCACCTGTCCACAGGTGTTCTGGTCCACACGTGTTTTGGTCCACAGGTGTTCTGGTCCACAGGTGTTCTGGTCCACCTGTCCACAAGTGTTCTGGTCCACAGGTGTTCTGGTCCACATGTGTTCTTGTCCACAGGCGTTCCGGTCCACCTGTCCACAGGTGTTCTTGTCCACACGTGTTTTGGTCCACCTGTCCACAGATATTCTGGTCCACCTGTCCACAGGTGTCCTTGTCCACCTGTCCACAGGTGTTCCTGTCCACCTGTCCACAGGTGTTCTGGTCCACCTGTCCACAGGTGTCCTTGTCCACCTGTCCACAGGTGTTCCTGTCCACCTGTCCACAGGTTTTCTGGTCCACTTGTCCACAGATGTTCTGGTCCACCTGTCCACAGATATTCTGGTCCACAGATGTTCTAGTCCACTCCTCAAACTGCTCCAGCTGTCTCAGGTTTGAAAGGTTCCCTCTCCAGATGTTTCAGCTCCTCCAGATGTTCAACAGGATTTAGATCAGGTCTCAGTAGGACACTTCAGAACAGTCCAATGTTTGGTTCTGGTGCTTTTAGATGTTTGGGTCATTGTTCTGTTGGAGGACCCATGACCTGCGACTGAGACCAAGCTTCCTGACCCTGGGCAGCACAGTTCACTCCAGAAAGCCTC